ATGCCTTCCTGTTGCTGACAAGCAGAAATACTCCCAGGAGTCTGGCTGTTCTGCCCCTCAACCCCTTCCTGATGCCTTTCTTTCTTCTGTGCTGGGCAACTTCCTCTGCCTTCCATGAGTGGACTGCTCTGTGCTGCTGTCCAAAAAAGATGCTGACACGTGCTACCTGAGGGAGGATGAGAGAGCCAAGCCCAGCCCATTCCAGTACAGTCGGGGTGCACAGTGAGGTGAGTATTTGCACTTAGGGCTGTGCATCCACATAGCCATTCCTGAGCAGCTCAGAAATTCCTACACAGGCTCCTAGTAATTGCCAGAGGAAGGACCACCTGTCTCAAATTCTGTCTTTTGCACAATATCGTGAAGTTTGTCTTTGACTCCCTAAGTCATCATTTTTTTTTTCTCTCCTTTCCCTTCACAGTCCATCACCATCCTCAGATATGCTGTGTGTTCATGGACTCTCTCTCCTCTCCTCATTAAAACTTAACCACCAAAAAGAATGAGTAATTTAGACAGTCAAGAGTGTTCCCATTCAGGGAAACTTTCCTGGTTCAAAGAGAAGATATCTGATGGAATTCTAGAGAGCATCAATCAGGTGGGGAGGTATTAAGGGCCATCAGGTTTGGATGATCCAAAAATTGGCCTCTGGACATAGTTGTCCAGTTGGTCTTCTCTTAACAACTGACCCAGACTTTTCTTTCTACTTTTAGTAATTGATGATCAGAGAAACTCAGAGAATAGACCAAGTCGTATTATCCAAGTGCCTCCTCTACTTACAAAGGTCACTTTGGAATGAGAGGTGACTCTATCATCAGGAAGTCTAGAGATCAGGCTGTCAGAAGTGCTGGGGACCTAATGTGTGACAGGGAACCCAAGTTCTTACAGGAATCTAGTGCAAATAACGTCTCACTGCTTCGTAAGACTTGTTAAAGGAATTTTATGTCCATAGTCTCTTCTGGGGTTTTTTTGTTGTTTTTTTTTTACAAAGCCTCTGGATTGAAAGTGAGTACTACTGTTCCCTCTTCCCAGATGAAGAAACTGAGGCCCCCAAGAGCAAAGTGATTTTCTTAAGGTCTCAAAGAAAATTTTCATGGCAGCCCTGAGATCAAAGATCAAATCTTCTGATTCCTGAGTCACACACCACACTGCTTATTCTTTGTCCACATCCTTATACAAACCAAGATTCTTCTCTAGTAATCCCCTGTCCTTGGCTTCCTACCCCTATGCCCCACACCACAGTATTCTCCCCTGCCCATAAGATGCTGATATGCTGCACTACGGGTCAAGCAGGATAATCTCTGCCAGCTACAAGGAAGATAAAGAGGACTTCAAGGTTCCAGGCAGCTCACCCACCGGCCACTTCTGGGGCTCTCTCTAGCCTTACAGTGAGGTTTGCCACAGGAGCTATATAGACATCGCCCCAGGCAGCAGCCATAGCCTGCTAACTGTCAAGTAGGGCTCAGTCCTTTCTTAGGCCTCCCCTAAGAGCTGAGAAGAGACATCCCACGTTTCCTGAACCATAAGCTCAGTGCCCCTGGATCTGCATTGGAGAGTCTAATGATAATGGCAGGCTAATAAGGAGAAGCAAGTGCAGGATGAGAATGAAACGTGAGTGTTAAATGGGTCAGATGGGCTAGAATGAACATTGCTTCTGAGTTAGACAGATCTGTGATCAACTTGGTTCCAATCCTATGGTCAGTGACCTTGGGGGAATTTAATTCATCCTTCTGGTCCTTAATTTCATGATATGAAAATAGGAATAATGATATCTATTCTCTAATTCTATAACAAGGATCACAGTAGCAAAACTATGATAGATATTTATCACTAGCCAAATGCACAAGATAGCACAGTGAAAGAAGAAGAAAAGAAGAGGTAAGTAGGAACTGGAATAGTCGGGGAAAGCTTAAAAGACGACACAGCCCATTGGTTAAGAGCATGGACGTGGAGGTCAGATGGAACAGAACTCAAATTCCATTTCCACCACCTATAACTCTGCGACTTTGAGAATGTTACAGAACCCCTCTGAACTTTGATTTCCTCATCTACAAATTGAGATAACAATACCTACATCACAGAATTGCTGTAATCACCAAGTGGGAAATGCATCTATGAAGCTCTTAGAACAATTCCTGGCCTATAGTAAGTGCTCAATAAATGTGGCTACAACTTTTAGTTCTCATTCATCATCATACCATATCGAAATCAATTCAAGATAGTTCAAGAGTGTATTACGAATTTATACACTTTTGTAATGGAAAAACCTAACGTTCACTCTCTTGAGCTATACTACGGTGACATCCTTTGAGATATTAAAGCAGATAGCTCAGGAGTGATAAATAAATCCGTTTCCATAGGGAAGATGCTAAGTAAACTCAATGGACAGTGTGATGCAGCCAGAAATGCAGAGCACTCAAGATATCCAGACGTAAGTGTGAAGTCCAGCCAGACCACTTAACACTGACTTATGCTGAACAAACCACTTCACCTCCCTAAGCTTGGGTTTCCTCATCTCTGAAATGAGGATAATAAGTGATTGTTGCAGCCAGAAGTGTCTTGGGATCGCTGTAAAGATTATATGAGACAATGCATCTGAAAGTGCCTTACACAGGGGCAGTTCTTAATTGTTTGCATGTTTTCTCCCAACGACTTCATTGTGAAGTTTAAGTATTCTTGGGATAGCCACAGACACAGCCAGGTTGTGGACTACCGGCTCTGATCTCCCACTAAAAAACTATGATTTATGACCAGGCCAAATCATCGTGATTACCCTGTGATGAAAGAGCAGACTCATAGAACTTTGCTTAGTTCTGGGGACTACACTTCACAGACAATGACAAAGTGGAATAGTTCCACTGTAGAGAGACCTAGATGGCAGAAACGCTGTCCTCCCAGGCAAACTTGGAGACTCTGTGTAGCACAAGACTAAAAAATTAATAGGTATAATTGCCAGCATTTACTAAACACTTGTGAAAGACCAGGTATTCTCGCTTAATCCTCAAAACAACTTTACGAGTAATATGCTATTGAAATTCCCCAGTTTTACAGATGAGAAAACCTAGGCTTGTAAAGGATAAGTGACTTCTTCAAGGTCATATGGCTGTTGAATGAAAGCCAGGGTTCTGGCCCAGTGTGTGGGCTTTTAATGACTGCACAGTGCTGCCTCTGTTGATTGATGATTTGAGTTCTTAAGGGCTTTCCTACTGAAGAATAATAGATTTGTTCTGTGATATTCTGAAGGACCAAACACTGTCTAAGTAATATAACAGAAATTAGTGTCACCTATTATCAAAAAGTATTTTTACTGTGTGCTGACAACTAGATTAGGTCTCCTTTTTTTTTTTTTTTTTGAGAGCTAAAAATTAGAAATCCCTTGATCTAAAAATGGATTTGGCATCTGGTCATTAAAGTCATTTCTTAATATTTCTAATTGTCTCTTCATTTGACTCCTTTGAGGTTTTTATATCCTGAGCCAATGCATCTAGTGAGCTTAGGATGGATGAAAGTATTTCTTTCATTTGTTAGGTGGAAGACAGGATAATCGATAAGGTGACACCTTGAAGACAAAATTATTTTGGAAAGAGAAATACAGAAGTTGGAAATCTGGAAATGGATTCTCCTAAAACCACTTTTTGAGAAATCTTTGAGTATGACACAGGTTATGCATTTTCCAAAATATAAATTTTTGGACCAAATGACCTTTGAAATCTTTTTAGCAGGTAAATACCTTGGTTCTGTAACTCATCAATGGGTCTTATTACCACAAATAAGATGTCTTGGTTTTAATTTGAGGAGTTGTGTAATATAATGTCACTAGCACAGTCTTTGGAGACAGATAAACATTGCTTTAAGTTCATATTTTGCCCTTTGTAAGCTTAAGCTTTCTATGCCTCAGTTTCTTAATTTTAAAACAATAATAATAATGATATCCTCATGGGGTTATTTTAAGAATTAAATGTGATAATGCAACAGACTCTCTGGTTCAAGGTAAATGCTCTGAAAACGTTAGCTGTAGTGATAGTGATGATATTAATGATAATGAAAAATTCATTCTTCGTTATTCTGGAAAATAATTAAGCAGGTGATCCCTTTAGCAACACCATGTGTAGTTTACTTTGGAGGATAAAAATGATAGTAACTAAACGGCCTGCTCAAATGTTCAAGTTTATAAAAGTAATCCTTTTTGGCAAACAGTATGGGAGCTCCTCAAAAAATTGAAAATAGAACTACCATAGGATCTAATAATTCCAATTCTGGGTATTTAACTGAAGAAAACAAAAACACTAATTTGTAAAGATATATGCAACCCCATGTTCATTGCAGCATGATTTACAATAGCTACGACACGGAAAAACTTGAGAGTCCATGATGGATGAGTGGATACAGATGCGATCTGTATCTTTTATGACTATCCAGCCATGAACAAGGACTTGAGAGTCCATGATGGATGAGTGGATACAGATGTGATCTGTATCTTTTATGACTATCCAGCCATGAAAAAGAATTAAATCTTGCCATTTGCAACATGGGTGGACCATGAAGGCATTATGCTAAGTGAAATAAGTCAGATAGAGTAAGACAAAGGTTGTGTGATGTCACTAATATGTGGCATCTAAAGGGAAAAAAACCCTCAGATACAGAGAACAGATTGGTAATGGCCGGAGGCAAAGAATGGGGGGTGGGAAAAATGAGTAAAGGGGGTCCAAAAGTATAAACTACCAGTTTAAAATAATTAACTGATGGGGATGTAATGAACAGTATAGTAACTAGAGTTAATACTATATTGCATGTTTGTAAGTTGCTAAGAGAGTAAATCTCCAAAGTCCTCATCACAAGAAAAAAAAATTGAAATTATGTTTGGGGACAGATATTAACTAGACTTATTGTGGTGACCATGTCACAATGTATACAAATATCAAATCAACACATTGTATGTATTAATCATATTAATGTATTGTTATATGTCAATTATACCTCATTAAAAAACAGTAGTAATCTTTTTTTGTTCATATTTCAACAGATGGACAATACCAACTGGACCAGTGTATCCCATTTTATTCTCTTGGGCATTTCTACCCGCCCAGAAGAGCAGATCCCACTCTTCCTTCTTTTTCTACTCATGTATGCAATCAACATTTCCGGCAACTTTGCCATCATCACACTGATTATCTCTACTCCACGTCTCCACACCCCCATGTACATCTTCCTCAGTAACTTGGCCTTGGCGGACATCTGCTTCACTTCCACCACGGTCCCCAAGATGCTGCAGAACATGTTCTCTCCTACGAAGGCCATTTCCTACATGGGCTGCTTAGTTCAGACTTATTTCTTCATATGCTTTGCAGCCATGGAAAATTTCCTCCTGGCTATAATGGCCTATGACAGATACATCGCCATCTGCCAACCTTTCCGCTACCCTATGATCCTGACCAGGATGTTGTGCTTGCAGATGGTGGCTCTGTGCCATATCCTCTCCCATCTTCATGCCCTGCTGCACACCTTTCTCATGGGCCAACTGATCTTCTGTGCAGATAACAGGATCCCCCACTTCTTCTGTGACCTCTACCCTCTGATGAAGATCTCCTGCTCCAGTACCCACCTCAACACCCTGATGATTCACACAGAAGGTGTCATTGTCATCAATGGAGCTCTGATCTTCATCATTGCCTCCTATGTCTGCATCATCTCAGTGGTCCTCAGGAAGCCCTCAGCCAAGGGCAAGTGGAGAACCTTCTCTACCTGTGGCTCTCACCTCACGGTGGTGGCTATCTTCTATGGTACCCTCACAGGGGTCTACTTCCAGCCCCTCACCAGCTATTCAGTGACCAAAGGTCACATCCTGACAGTCATGTACACAGTGGTGACCCCCATGCTGAATCCCTTCATTTACAGCCTGAAGAATGGAGATGTCAAGGGAGCTTTCAGGAAATGGATGAGCAGAATATGGACTTCCTTCTCTAGATAAAACCCTAAAACAGAGTTCCAAGCTTTAAGATTCTGGGGAAACCATTTTATCCCTCATACATCTGTTTCCTTCAGAACTTCCTAGAAATGTCTAAATTAAGTACACATCATGGATTTTCTCACTGGATATTGTCCTGAGAGATCCCTTAAACCCAAAGCCCATGTACTTAGTGTAAAACACGAGCATGGCTTTGATTATAATAGAGGGTATTTTCTGCATCTACCATTAAACACCAGGGTTTTAACTCTCAGAGTTAGATGCAGGCGACAGAAACCAATTCTGGTTGATTCATGGAGGAACTAAGTTTATTAAAAGTCTATGTGGGACTCATGAACTTTCCAAGAAGATTAAGCAACCAGGCTCAATAAAATGGATGAGAACCACAGTCAAAATCATATCCCAGAATTGGTCTGAGGAGGTCACTATTGTGGTCACCAAACTCTGTTCACTGCCACTTGTATCCTCACCAACACTACCAGGAAAGGTCACCAGGCATAGCGCTTGGAGGCCTGAAAACCAGGTTTGACCACCTCCAGAAAGGACTGCTCGCTTCTAATTTTTTTTCACCTACACATCTAGATTCAAAATAAGGTGGCACATGTGACTGGCCAAGTCTTGGTCACCAACCCATGCTTGAGTTCCCAGGGAAAGTGGGAGAACAATGCTGCTGCTTTTATTTTCTATAAGATAGAGAGAGGTGCTGCCTCCCGCCAAGATAAATGAAATGAGAGAACCATTTCAATTTGAGAAGAGGGACATAATGACAAATGTCCACTCTATAAGGTCAGGACTTACAGATGTTCCAGAATTAAGCACTGTCGCAGCTCTCCAACTTGCATTTTCTTAAGCTTATTAGCTGCACTGTTTAGGGATAACTTAAATACCTTTTGTCTCAGCACGTTCCTGATCTTTTCTATAGCTGATTCGTGAAACTTGTCTATTTTACTGGGTATTTATCTGCTGACCAACCAATGCTGGATGTAGAGAACAGGTCCAAGAGCTAAGTTGTCTACTAAAATGGTAATTCTTCAGTTTCATGGGTATAGAATTAAAAGCAAAAGGTGAGAGGGGCTTCCCAGGACATGGGGCAGAAGGTACAAGTGTGACTAGTTGAGTCTGTCTGTCTGGATAAAATTTCTCCTACAGGATATGAGTGGTTATGGCAATGAGTTGAGAAGGAGCAGAAATTGTGGTACTTTTGTGTAATGAACTAGAAGAAAGGTTTCTTGTAACCTACACATAAATCTTGTCAAAAATTTACACCACTGAAACAGGTTTGAGAAGTTATACTCGCTAAGTCTTTGGCTGCACTAAGGTAATGAATTCTTCCAAAATATAGGGGGCCTTGGCACTTATAAGATTATAATAACAAGGAAATAAAGCTCACTTTTGATTAGTTAACTCTGGTTCTTTCCATTTGCCAGAAAGTCTCTTACAGACTCAATATTCTTTTTCTGGACCCCACTGTTTCCTGTTTTATCTTTCTCCTCCTTGACGCACCTCCCTCTTTTCTCTGTCTTCAGTGACAGTCCCACTACCGATCCTCTTCAGTGTTTACCCACCGACTGGCCTCACTTCTTAGCACTGTAGCCTCTTCTAAGAAGTCCCCTTGCTCCCACGGAAAGAACTTTCTTAAGGTGAAGGAATGGTCAAGAGAATAAATTAATAAAACATTTTTGAAGAGCAACTGGGAAATGCTATCCAAAAAACCTGTATTTAGGGGATATTCTTCCAGGAGTTTATCTCAGTGAATGAATATAATAATAAATGAGTGTATATTATTTATACGAATACACATATATGTTATGTCGAATACTCTCTTGTTTACGACAGTGAAAAGCTGCAAATCATCTTTTCATATACAACGGAATTTTGGTTCATTGCATTTGGTAGTTAAATGGTGTTATCTGTTCACAATTCTTCCTTTCCTGCACTTGCCATGGCTTCACCGAGGGCAGAATATACATCTCCATCCCATTAACTTTGGACTTACTGTAGCTGGCAGTTTGTGAACAAGCATAGCAAACGCTGCTTCCAATAAAAAGCTTTTTAATGAGTTTAGGTTGTTTGATTTGCCCTCTTGAGCTCTGGATTTTACCATGAGAAGAAAAGCTCATCTTGTATATCTAGGGCCTCTAAGGTCGGGCCTCGGAATGAGAAATACATAGAAGAGACCTGAACTTGATCCGCAGTCTGAGGCACTGTTGCCTCTTTTAACCTGCAGACCTCTGAATGAGAAATAAATGTCTGTAGTTATAAGGGGGCTGAGGTTTTAGATGGTTTCTTATTCAGTACTTTGAAAAACATCACAACCAATACAACACATGTACACTATGAACTGCTGTGCAGTCAATAAAAAGAATGAGACAGATTAATTCCTGGCCTTACTCTAACACTTCATCAATAGCCTTTGGGCACATACAGATATCCAATCCTTTACCTAACAGCTCTTTGTCCTTTTCTCCCATTATTTCTTCATCTGTATGCTATTGATGATGATGATAATAATAATAATAATAATAGAAGATACATATATGGTATTTACCATGAGCTGCTCACAGTTATAAATGCTTTACGTACACTGTACTCATCAAATTCTTACAACCTAAAATTATAGATGCTCTTTCACTCTTCATTACAAATGCATAACTGAGGTAGAGAGTAGTTGAATAACTGTCAAAAATCACTGTAGTGTGAGCTTGGAGAGTTGGCTTTTCTTTCTGTAATGCAAGTGACTAACTTAAGCAGCAATTGCTGAGGTATCCACTTCAGAAACTATTTAAATAAACACACTGCCATTCACTTGACTAGATAAAGAGCCAGCACCCCACCATTTTAACCCCCACCCCCCAGCGATCTCTGTTTTAGAGATGTGGGTTGATCTCCATTAGGCCCGCCTGTTTTTTTCTCTCCCCACACCTTAACTTTCCATTCTTCCATTTTACATTATCCGCCAATAAAGAGTTAACCTATAAAACTCAAGGCTCTCAGGCTCGACCCCAATAAAAGCAGAACCCCAAGAAATTCTCCTTTGGCTCGTGTCTTCAAGTTACACATCACTTTTTGTCTGCCATCTCAAAATAATACTTGAGAAATGGCTATCATCACAGCTTCCACTTACTCTCTTACAGTTTTATCATAAAATGACTATAATTGTAATTTTTCTCCGGCACTTCACTTAATTGCCCTTATCAAAGTCTCCAAAAATCTATATCTTGCCAAATCTAATAATCAACTTTCTGTTCTCATTAGTGACTCCTCAACTGCATTTGAGAGAGTGACCACTCCTGTATTCTAGAAATACTCTTTTCTAGGATTCTGACATATCAAACGTACATGCTGTCTTCTTGCTAATGGCCACTTCTCAGTTGTGTTTGTGATCTCCTCTCCCAGACTTCTAAATGTTGGAATGTGCAAACATCTCAAGGCTCTGTTCACAGTTCTCTTCTATTTTCTATATTCTTACTAAATGATTTTATCCAGCCGCATGGCTTCAAATATCATCTGCATTTTGCTGTGACATATCTATCCCAAGACCTCTCCATGAACCTCAAGGATTATGTATTTAACTATGAAAAATCTCCACTTGGGTAGGTCTTACAAAATTAACATGGCCAAAACAGAGTTATTTATTTCGTATCCTCCCACCATGTCTGCATGCCCCCTACTTACACAGAGTCTTCCATGTATAAGTAAATAACGATTCGACCCATTTTAATAGTCCATCCTTGATTCTTCCTCTTCCCTTATATATTGTGTCTAGTCTCTCAGTATGTCTAACAGCCCTATGAACCATATGTCCCCAAAACTGACTACCTACTCCTGGTGTTAGAGCCACTGTGAAGACCCTCTCCTCCAGCCTTTATGATCAGTGACCTACAGTGTCTTTTATAAAGGGACACAAAAGTTCAGATGAAATAATTCAGTCACTATAAGTATTGAACTACTTATTATTACTGTCACTTGAGAATGATGGGAGACCATAAAATATCACAATTTTAAGAGTTTAGACACTCTTCTGTATAATAGTGTTGTAACTCACTTTGACTTCTCTACGGAAAATACTACATGTCACCCCATCACTGAAATAATCAAAGCTCTGCAGGCCAAGAATTTGGCTTAATAATCCTCTCTGCCTCAGATTAGATTTGAAAGAAGAAAGGTTCAGGGTTGGTAATTTAAAAAATATCTTTTCATTTCCAACGCGCTGAGATTCTAGGTCAGTCAATAAGGACCAGAACTATTTATTCCAGAACTCGCTTTTCCCCAAATCCAACCTAGAAAGCCAACATGAAAGATTACCCCATAAGAATGTGAACCACACCAGTTACTAGGAGTGTAAACCATCAATTATGAGGCATTTTCAAGTTATATCTTAACTCCGTGGTCTCAGGAGGCGTGCTGCCATTCCCGGTTGGCCTGGGAGCCAGGCTGGAAGCTGCCTGAGATGTGGAGTTTCCTGGAAAGCCTTCGGAGAGCTCCTTTGACCTCCTGGTTCCTCAGGCTGTAGATCAGTGGGTTTAGCATGGGGGTGACTACTGTGTAAAAGATGGCAACCTGGCGGTCCTGGTTCAGGTCATAGCTGGAGGAGGGCCGCAGGTACATGTGGATCACAGAGCCGTATAAGAGCAGCACAACCAGGATGTGGGAGCTGCAAGTGGACAGAGCTCTGTGCAGGGCAGCGACTGAGTGCATGCGGGCGATGGCAACGCCAATGCGGGCATAGGAACCCAAAATGAAGAAGAAAGGGCTGACCACCACAGCGACACCCTCAGTGAATATCAGCATTTCATTGACCACCGGTCGGGTGCAGGAGAGCTTCAGTAGGGGTGTGATGTCGCAGAAGAAGTGGGTGACCTGGTTGCCACAGAAGGTTAAACGGGTGACCAACACACTATAAAGGAGGCTGTTGAGGCTGACAACCACCCATGAGGTCAAGGTTATGCGCAGACAGAAGTGACGGCTGATGATGGTAGAGTATCTTAAGGGGTCACAGATGGCAACATAGCGGTCATAGGCCATGGCAGCCAACAAGTGGCCTTCCATGCTGCCCACA